GTAGGACAGCATGTGTAGTTATTTGTTCCAGTTATAGTAGTGTCAGTTTGAGTCAGTTTGTTAATTCAGTTGTTATTTATTTCAGCTTTTATTTACTTTATTTATTAGTAAGTACTAAACATAACCTATAAATAATAAGAAAGTGGTGGCGGCAGATCAGTAAGAACCCGTCCCTCCTTTCAACCACTTGTATTCTCCTGTTTCTCTTTTATTCTCTCTCATTTTCTCTCACTTTTCTTCTGTTTTGTAAACCTAAAACCTATTAGGATTCAAGACTGATTACAGTCTTGATCTTCTACTAGATTAAAGAGAGAAGTGGGGGTGAACCATTCTTGGACTCTCACTCCACTTTCTTGTTCTCTCCTCTTCTCTCTTGTCTCTCAAGAAACCCTATTTTGACCTAGGCTTTCAAGAACTGATTTCTATCAGTTTTCTTCTGTGTTCTTGCAAGAAAAACATTTAAGAAATTCAGGCTCACTCATTCCACTCAATCCAAGCCAATTGGATAGCAGATTTGCTGAAATCATAGTTGTTGAATCAATTTCTCCCATAGCTGAGCCATATTCAATTGAAGCCCAATTTTGGGACTGATATTGGGCGTGAACTTCCACCTTGGGAGCTGTGATTTATGGTCTTCATATCAAGTATAATCTCCTTTCAATTTGGTTTCGAATCTGCTCCGGTTCAGTGCAAGATTGATCCAGAAAATTCAGTTTTCAAATTCACCGAAAAATCAATTCCCGAAAGGGTTAAAAAAATTTTTGAAACTTCACCAAGCCATTTAGCATGGTTCGTCCATCCATATGATGGATTCTAAACCCTTCCAACAGGCCCAGGACCAGATCATCAGCCAGCTAAAGGTTGAGCCCAACTTGTCATTTGAGGCCCACAAGCAGCCAAGCCCAATGATATCGAAGACACATCAACAGTGAATAGTACCATGCACATGTCTCGTGAATTCCTTGTGAATACTATAAATATTTGAGAATAAAGGAATAAGGCAGACCTAGCTTATTTCATTTCCCTCTTCTTCTTCTATCGTTAGGAGGTTAGGTCTCCCTCGAAGAGACCTCTAGCAGTGGGCAATCCCATCAAAGTGGTATCAGAGCCATTGCAAGCGGCAGCAAGATGATGAACACTAGATCGTCAGCTATGGAAGGTCGCATTGACAAGATCGAAGAACTTCACAAGGTGTTCGGAGAGCTAAAGAAGCTGAAGGACTCCATTTCGGTGGTGGCCAGCCAATACTAGAAGTCGACTCACTTCAACTAGCACGAAGGGGATAGCAAAGGTTCAAGCCATTCCAGCCACTCACACACAGGAGCTAGATTCAGAAGGGAGGCCAAACCGGTGTTTCCCAAGTTTTCAAGTGAGGACCCTATCTCCTAGATATTTAGAGCAAAGAAATTCTTTGAGATATATGAAATCCCTGGGCACCAATGCTTTGATCCATTTTTAAGGGGAGGCCATCCAGTGGCTACAGTGGTACCGATGTTC